AAGAGGAGAATTGGAATTAGAGTTTAACGACTTTTTTCCACCTAAATAATAGTTTAATGACACTTTCTCATTCACAGAGTTTTAAAATACTATTTTACTACCTAAATTTATATTGTTTGTTATGATAATTGGTGGCCACCCTTTGCCTTTCCTACAACTTGAACCTAAGACCCTTTAGTCTTTTAACTCCTCAATCCATCCTTCACTCGATTAGGCCACAAGGGGTGGTTATACCCAAATTTATATTTCTGCAGCGAACAGAGAGCATATTCGTTCTAGGCTATTGGGGTTTTTTAAGAAGAGAGGCCGATGAGTCTTTTGGTGGTGAAAGATTAGATTTTGGTGGTTGGGATTGATGGCGGTTGTGCAAACCCTAATTGTTCAATTGCTGGCAATTGGTGGGGTCGGCGAGAGTAGAGTTTGAGGGTTTTGGTGAATGATGGTCGGGGAAGAGAATGGTCGTGGTGTGAGGTTGCAACGATGCCAAAATCGGAAACGGAATATAAATTTGGATAATAAAGTGGTATTTTAAAAGTCTGTGTGTAGAAAAATGTCATTTAACCATTATTTGGGTGAGAAAAAAGTCACTTACTCTTACTTAAAATAACAACATTTTTAAAGGTTATGGCCGTCTTAACGGATTTCTTTAGACTTTGATACTAACTGGACACACTCTAACGCCATTATATATCATTATATTATATTATATTTGTTAAATTTAAGATGAAAAATGAATATAAACATGATTTTAATGCTTCTTTATATTACATAAACCTTCAAAAATAACTCAGAATTTTTATTTTGTTAAAATAATAATAATAATAATAATAATAATAATAAAAAAAGGAGTGGTTGAGTGGACATCATCAAAACATCCCTTTCCGTGTGCTATTAAACAACCGCGTTTCATGTATTAATAATTTATGCTAGTTTTCTGATTTTAAATGCTTCTTTTATATCTATTGATATTTGATACTTTATACTACATAAAGTTAACTTAGCACTCTTTAAGTTTAAATTTTATTATAATTTATTCCAAGTATCTTATGTCACATCTCACCTAACCTATTCAAAATGTTAGTTTTACATTTAATATTACTAAAGGGTATAAAGTCAATAAACCTCCTAACTAGTGGACCATTATTATTATACAAGTTTATATCTTCACCTTCATCGCTTATATTATATGCTTACACAATCTACCCAAAAATAATTTAATTTTTATAATTATACTATAAAGATAAAAGCTTAATTGATGTTGATTTCTCAAATGGATGGCCAGATGCTTCAGATTACCAACTATTTGTTATGTAATCAGTGAAATGGACCCAAGATATATTATCTAGTTGACGGTTTATTAAAAGTATTTGGTTTATCTTGGTCAATAATTAGTGAATTTAATATTATAATAAAATTGGGAATTTTATTTTCTGCCGGTCAGCCTAATGAATTATAATTTGAATAATGTTACATTTACACCACTCTTTTACACAATTTTCATTACATCATGATGCGTCATATGTCACAATCACACAAATTCTATTATAAAATTAAAAATTAAAAATAATTAAAAATTTGTGTGATTGTAATATATATCATATCATGATGTAATGAATCTGGTGTAAAAAAGTGGTGTAAACGAAGTATTTCTCTAATAATTTACATGTAAACATCCCGGTCATTAAAAAATTAAATTAAAAATTTACATCTAACATAATGACGATAGCAAATTAAGGTAAGGTTAACAATAAGTGCACAACCATTTCAAGTCATGCTAAATAAAACAATTAACATTTATTTAATTATACTACTATTTCTCGAGAAGCTAAAATGCGCCGTTGGCTTATTAAAGTAGTTATGTTTTAATATTGTTTTTTAAGATGCAGGAAGGCAGAAGGAAGGTACGGTGGATGTATACGGCTTACGTTAGCGGGAATCATGGGATGGCGAAGGAATCATCCCCTAACGAATCCCAAAAATAAATGCTGTCTTTTTCGATAAACTCAAATAATTCTAAAAAAAAATATAAAATAATAATGCGTTATAGCTGGCAACTTCATCGCTTATCTAAATTGACGGTTCAAAAGCAGACAGCAACGTATTACTATTTTACAATTTAACGCATTTTAATATTGCCTTGTAAGACGAAAACGACAAATTTAGGTGGGGTCAAGTTCAACTAACATATGACGTGGCAACAAACTAGGGGAACCGAACATGACTAAGCCGGGGATGGTTGTCTGAGGTTCAACTATCAATTTTAGTGTCTACGTGGACGATTTAAGAATTCAACATGTGTAACCTATGTTGTTTTCATAACAACTGTCGGTTTTGTCGTTTTCGGACACAGTGCTTATTACTACTCGTGTTCCACGTGTTTCCATAATAATTTAGGAGAGAGGGGCGAGGCAGCATGGTTGAATTGGACGGTGAAGCATTTGGTATTGGGCCACATGTGAACAAAAAATTCTCCTTTTTCAGACCACAACAAACCGCTAAACAAATTATCCATGAACAAAGAAAATATTAAATATGTTAGCTGCATTCTACACTATTTAAGTTTTTATTACATTGGACTTAACAAAGGCAAAAACAAAAATCCTTGAAGAATATAATGACTGAGCTAGGGTTTTATTGAATATATGCAAAGGATTCATTAACGTATTCGACAATGATTGGAAGAATAACTTTTTTCAATTTGATCAAGATGTAACCGTTGATTCTTGATTGTTTTAATTACGTTTCAAATTCATTAGATTAAATGGTTGTTCCAAAATAATGTAACCATTAATTGATAATCTAATCTATTAAGAAATCATCAATGCTAAGAAACCTCCTGGAATGTGGATAATCACGTGACTTAAATTAAGTAATCACCGACCGTACCTTCCTGTTAGATTCTAATTAACGTGTATAATATTAATATCCTTATAAAATTACCATAAGATCCCCAGACTAGAAGCCAAAAATGTCAAACGAGAGAGGGAATTACGTGCGAATAAGGAGGGTTTGGGAGGTGTGCTGCGGTATAGGATACAAGCGGCACGTGTGTCTGCTTAGTGAGAGGCTGAAACACGTGATAAAGTTATTTGAGCACATGGGGTTGCGGTTGAATTAGATAAAAACTCAGAGAGAAAAAAAGAGTTGGAGTATGGGGACCCCGACACCTGTCCCGTTGCAACGGTTATAAAGCTCAAAGTACGATTTCCCGTATCTGCCTTATCTTTTTGTGGCTTTCTTTCTTACCTCAATAGTTTTAATTTAATCAAATTAAGTTAAATATGGATGTAATGTAAACAGTTGATTTAGTGGATATGGACAAACGTGCCATAGATATTTCTGGCTGTCACATGGGGGGAGAAGATTTCATGTAGATCTTGTACTTAACAATGTTATTAAATTAATATAAACAGTACTGTTAGTCAATTCCAAAGTAATTAATAAATATTTTTCATTGCCCACTCCATCCATTATCCACAACTGCACACACTGTGTCTCCTGTTGCTGACTTTGCCATAACAATATGTGTACTTAACATTAAGTTTCACTTGGTTCATCGATTTCAACCACACTTTCATATGGGATATTATCTTGTCTATGCAAATCATCGCACTTTAGGCCGTGCAATAAATATGAGTATTTCATTATTTACTATCGCAAATTGTAACACTTTTCTTTCCCTTTTATCATTATTTTAAAGTTGATTTAGATCTGTAGTTCAAGTTGGATCTTTATTTTATAAATATAAGTTTTTTATGAAAGCAGTAGTAGAGTACATGTAGAATACGTAAATAGGTTTTATGATTTTTTTAATGAGATTTGGATACAAAATCGGGTCTGTAAACTAAAAAATAATACCGACCGTCAGATGTTGCCGCCACCCGTATATATATACTAAACAACTAAGTATTAGATGGTAGGTACGATGTACGAGTAACAGAAATAGATACGGATCTGTCTACCATATCTTCTTCATTTTATCGCACTTTCATTTAATTCTTGATGCATAAGAAAATATTTTATAAAAAAGTATTTTCTCCCATCTCGGAAATTAATGCAGTAGGGGAGGAGGAAGGTGTAAGGGAAGGTCCGTGGTTATGGGAGCATGTGTACGAAGGATAAGGTTTAACCGGTTCCGTACAGGTAATGGTTTTGGAAGAGATGGTTTTGGCAGTTGAGGGATAGAGATGTTGGACTGGCACGCGTCGGTGGACAGGCCGTTAAGGTGGTGGCAGGTGTACAGGCTGGACTTGGCAGTAAAGCAGTAATGATTCGCCTCCAATTCGGCGACCACTGTTGTCGTTTTGTTCCAACTCAGCAGTTCCGTGCGGCCGTTCCTTTTATTAAAATAATTTAAAAATCTGACACGAAATGCTATACAGCCTGGCCACCTCGGTCAAACTCAAGACTAAAATCTTACCCAACCGTTACGATCTTTATCCTCACACATTTAATTTTGTTTTGTTTTTTTTTTTCAATCATAAAATTATGGTTGTTCTTGGAGTTTGATTTGTCCCTTGAACTTCCAGAACCAAAATTTTCAATACTTATTTATTACCCACAATTTCCTATGCTCTGTCCTACGCTTTGAGAGAGAGCGTGTCATCACTCTCTTCCTTTTGTTAAGTTCCAATATTTTCCATTACTATTGGGTATTTATGATGTAAGTTATGATGAGTTATTATTATATCTTAAAAAATGCTCCGAATTTAATTTAAAGTTGAAAATTGAAATGATTATAGCATGGTCTTCCGCTCCATGCAATAAAAGCTTCAATATTCTTTTTTAGTGAAAAAGAAAGATAGAGAGTGGGATAGACGCTCCATCAAAGAGTAGATAAAAGAACAATAACAGAAAAAGCAGAGAGATTTTAAGAGAGAGCGACCCTTGTAAATCAGTGCAACTAAACATTGACGCGTGTCCATCTCCAGCTGTATCCCAAACCCAAAAACCCACAACCGAATACCTCAAATAAGCGGTGCCCATAATGCATTCTTAACCCCAACTGTAACCGGTTCTCTCGGTTACTCCTTTTCCTCTCTTATATTACCGACGACTCCCCCACAACTCCATTAGTCTCACTCCACAACGATCCCAGTCCCTCTTTCTCTGTCTTTCTCTGTACATGTTCAACAGCTGAAACCACTAATTACTAATACTGATGGCGTTTAACCGAAAAGAAGTGGATCGGATCAAGGGCCCATGGAGCCCAGAAGAAGATGAGGCGTTACAACAGCTTGTTCAAAAGCATGGCCCAAGAAACTGGTCTTTGATCAGCAAGTCAATCCCCGGACGATCCGGCAAGTCTTGTCGCCTCCGTTGGTGCAATCAACTCTCTCCCCAAGTTGAGCACCGTGCCTTCACACCTGAAGAAGACGAGACCATATTACGCGCTCATGCACGCTTCGGCAACAAGTGGGCAACAATCGCACGGCTACTCAACGGCCGTACAGACAACGCAATTAAGAACCATTGGAACTCGACTTTGAAACGGAAGTGTTCTGGTTCGATGGCAGAGGATGGTAATTTAATTAACTGTAATGGGTATGACGGGGATTTTGGTGATAATAATCAAAATCAGCCGTTGAAAAGATCGGTAAGTGCAGGATCAGGTGTGCCGTTGACTACGGGGCTTTACATGAACCCGGGTAGTCCATCTGGATCTGACGTAAGTGATTCAAGCGTACACGTGTTGTCGTCGAGTCATAATATATTTAAACCCGTGGCGAGAGCTGGCGGTGTTAATGTGGATGTGAATGTAATCCCGGAAACGACGTCGTCCACCAACGATCCGCCAACTTCACTGAGTCTGTCACTTCCAGGGGCAGATTCAAGTGAAGTTTCTAATCAAAAGGTGGCGGAGTCAAGTAAGGTTGTAAATACAAAGAGTTTGTTTCCTGAAAGTGGGTCGAAAGGTGGTGGTTTTGTGGGGTTCAATGAAGAATTTATGGGGGTGCTGCAAGAGATGATAAGAGAGGAGGTGAGGAATTACATGGCTGCCCTTGAACAGCAGAGAGGTGGAGTATGCTATCAGGGTAGTGGTGGTGGTGGTGGTGACGGTGTCTTTAGAAACGTTGCGATGCAGAGGATCTGAGTTTACTAAATGTGGTAGAGAAAACTGGGATTTGTGTTTTCTCTTTTCTTTAGGAGAATAATTTTGGTTAATGTACAGAGAGAGAGGGAGAGGTGGGTAATGGATAACTGAGTAATGGTCTTTAGATTGAGAGGAAGACTGTTGAAGATTCTATCAATCTTTGGCCTTGTTCATTAGATGTTAGAGACGAAAACATGCAACAAAAATGGAAAAAAAAAAAAAAATATTATATATAATGTTATATATAAGAAGTAAAAAAAATATATATCCTTAGAAATGTTAATCCAAGTTGTCGCATTTCATAGTGGGAAAATCTTTTGAATTTTTCCTTTATTAACTCATATCTTATTATTCTTGGGAACGGTTAATTAGTTTGTTATTCTATTTATTTATTAAATTTGAAACGAACTAATGAATCAGAGATGTCGACGAATATTGAATGGGCTGACTCATTTTCCAGTGGAATTCGAAAATATACCTGGGAAATCTTAAAGCAAATAGTTAACAACCACAAGACTGGTCTGGGTATATTTCATTGAGAGGTCATTAATTTTGTGTAAATGCAATTACTTAGAGACGAAGAATTAAGATGGAACCGAAAAAGGATAATATTGTTGTTAGGTAGTTGAAAAGAAGCAACCGATAATAGTTAGGCTAAAAGTTAGTTAGGTATAGTTGCCATAGCAGTTACAGTTACAGTAAAAGAACATGTATGTTTCGTTGCACTTCTGTTGTTGTTTTAACTATTTTCTAACACTGTAATTATTGATGAAATATGGTTCTTTCTTTTAGTATTACAACTAAAATTGAACTAGCTTATAAAGTCATATTTATGTTCATTCTTTATTCGAGAAAGGAGTCAAATGGATGTCATAAAACATCTTCTGCTTTAGTAGTTGATATGACTGGAAATTGAGATAAAAGTGTGTTGCCAATGATCAACTGCTACTAGTTTATCTGAAATCAAACATTGCTATTTCCAATTCTAGTTCACCAACCAAAACTTCATTAACTTTTTTATTAGATTTTCAGGGTCAACTTTGTACAACTCCGGGAGATTTCTTCTTGACATAGATCTCCTCGTATATCTTGGGACTTCGTGTTATACACACAGAGTTAAGTCCTGCATCTATCAATTTCAAAAAGAATTGGAGAAAAGAGGTCCAAAAGAATATAAATAAGTCTAGTTACAAAGGAGCAGCGTGGAGGGTGCTTGAGCTGGTGTTATGTTTCCTCCAGAAGAAATGCCTAGATTTCAATTTATTAACCAAATTCCATAAATCCTGTCTCCAGGACCATGAGGGGTCATTGAGAGCTCGTATGGAATTGAGGCAAACAAGAAGAGTCCCACCTTCGTGTAAAAGAACCTGCATGTATACCAAAACAGAGAAGCCATGGAACCATTAGCTTAGGTTTGAACCAAATTCGTATCAAGCAAAAATAGCATGCTATATAATCTATATGAATATGCAGGTGAAACGTTCAAATTCCGGTATTCATATTGGCTGTGTTGCATGGAGTCAGATACTGAATGCAAATATTAAATTGAAACAAAGCTGCTTTTTTTTTTTTTTTTTTTTTTTGTATACCAGCGCGAATTACATTCATGTATCATACTGAAGGGGGAAAAAAGGGAGTTCGGAAGGCACACTGCCAAATCAAAACCTAAAACTCACAATTTAATTATGGAGAGATAATAGGTTTGCAACCGTTGCATAGATTTAGGCACTTAACATGCCTCCTAATTCCTAAGTATCTAGTTCAATTGTCTCTTTCCAGAAATATTTGTGACTAGTTTCACAAGCACGGATCTGTTACATAGAAAGCCTTGGTGTTTTTGTCTAAATGAAAATCACAAGTAAAATAGCATGTTGTTTATTTCTACAAAATTAGCCAAAAACCATTGCTATTGCTAATGTACGCAACAAGTTCTGTAAAGCAGATAATTAAGTTAAATCATACCGTCAACCACAGGGGCAGAAAGCCCAAAACTGATGGAAGAGAGGCCAAAACTATACAAGATAAAGCAAGGGCAACGCTCTGCTTGACCTGCAAGTATAAGTAAAGAATCAATATCATGAAGAGCAGAAATAACTAAGGATGATAGGATGGACACTAGCAAGTACCAGGGAAGTTGTTTGCCGAGACTTCGCAATACAGAATGGAATGCCAGAGATATTATCCCGAAGCAACAAGACATCTGCGACAGCTATAGCTGTTGCACTTGCCCGTTGAGCAAGCACAATTCCAACAGTTGCAGCAGCAAGTGCTGGTGCATCATTAATGCCTTCACCAACCATGATCAAACCTCCGCCTGTTAAAATAAAAGAAAAATACAAAAATCTGTTCAGCAAACCATTTGAGTTCCAGAACATAAAATTTTAGGACAACAAATAAAGAAACCTGCACCTATACTACACAAATTACCAATAATTATAAGAAAAAGGACGGTATTACGTGTGCATGGTGGAAACAAGAGAACACACAGTATTCTAAAAATAAAAGGAAATAAGAACATGCAACTGAAGGCAACAATAAATAAAGTAATCAAGTATATGAGTATGTACATTTACATATTTGGGTTTTCATGAACGCAAATAGGGTTCTTTTCCTGTGTTTCTGATGGTTTGGATAAATACCCTAGAAAAACAATATATATTTGCATAATGAATGTTCGTTAGTAAATTCTTAGGGCACAAGTGTTAATAGGTAATGTCATACAGAAGTTGTAAAGTAAAATCACATGCTATGAGTTAACATAAATAAGCCAAAATATAGTGATAAAGAAATCCAGAATCATAAGTGGAGCTCACCCATATCCCTGGAGATACTCTTGACATGATTGAGCTTATCCTCAGGCTTCAGGCTGCAGTAAACTTCATTGATGCCAACAGAATTTGCAACTCTCCATGCACTGGACGCATGGTCACCAGTTAACATCATGACACGTAGTCTTGCTTGATCTTTTAATTCCCCTATAACATCTGAAACTCCTGGGCGAGGCCTATCCTCAAGGTGAATCAATGTTACCTACACACAACAATGGCAAACAAAATTTCAATTCTGGATTAAAAGTGATTCACAAAATAGATGACCCATAAAATGAGAAATGAGGTGTTTATGAGGAAAAGTAAACAAGAAATCTAGGGGGGCACCCACCTTGATCTAAAATTTTATGCAATATAGTTTGTATAAAATGGAATATCATAAAGAAGCTTATAAATAAATACTGTAAATTTTTTTTTTTTTTTTTTTTTTTTTAAATAAAGCTACAAAAGTCTCAACAGTATCAGCCAATGACAGCCCTTGCAAAGCATAAAACTACCAAAATCCAATAAAGTACTGCAAGTATGCAGGAAACTACATTGTCTCCCATGATCTTTCTTGATTTGACATTCAGATTTGGCATGTTGAAATTAAGTGAATAACCAGATCATCATAACCATAAACCACACCTTTTCATTAACAGAGAGAGCAGCATGGACAAAATTGCTTCCATAAGAAGAACCATCAACAGCTTCCTTGATCTTTCTTGATTCTACTTCAGATTTACAGAGAGAAGTGATAAACTCTACAGAACCAAGAGATGCTTTTGACATTTTATCCCCTCCAGCCCCTGACTATAACAGAGTACAAAAGATTGTAAAATCACATTATTGCCCAACTAAGATAACTTACCAATAAGATCATAAGAATGCACGGTTTTCATACACTCTCCTGAGAAGTTAATTGACAATGAATGTGGCAACTCAATAACAAACAGTTAAATTTCGAAAATTGTTTCTTTATAAGTTGTTTTTTTTTTCTTTTTTTTCCTGAGCAGACATATTTCATTCCTAAAGATCCTTATGCATCATGGACCTTGAGTCCAGAGTGAAGTTCATATAAGCAATATAGGAAGGATGCAAAGGGCTATTAGTCCTTATCTCTTTTTACATTTTAGGACCAAGCGTCTTAGTTAAAATTAGAACTTCTATTTCTAGAATTATTAGAGTTATATTTTGTATATGATTTGGTTTCTTAAGCCTACAAATAAAGATTAGAGTTGATGATTGATAATAAAGATTGTTTTCATGAAATCTAATTCATCTTTGATCTATCTATTTTCCTCTCTATTTTCATATTCTTTATTATCTATCTTGTTATTCTTCTGCTACTCCATCAAAGGGTTGAGTCAAAATAGATATTTTGTGATTTCAAGAACAAGAATCGCAGCTTTATTATAACATATTAAACAAGACAATAATTACAACATCTATCCCCTATGTAAGATAATAACCTAACATCATTAACTGGTTTATAAGCAAAAATCTTAACATATTGACCAAGATAACATTTAGCCCATCCCATATGTTAGAAATAAGTTCCCTATGTCATGATATCAAACTTCCATAGGATTTATAATGAGTAGAATCTTGTAAATTGGTCACAACTATGCTAAAATAGATCTGAGCAAAAAATAATTATCATATTAAGAAGGTACGAAAAAGATAAAACAATCTACTAAAATAGCATGTTCCATTAATTGCTAATCATAAATAATACTCCCTCCAAGTCAGTTCAAGAAATGAGAATATTAAATGAAAAAGTAAGCTTCCGTTTTCCTAGATGAATAATAGAAATAAAATTTCCTTCTGACTTTTTGGACCAAATTTAGCCAAAGAAGAAAAAGAGAATAATCTGTGGGACGATAAAATCATACTAATACAATAGTTTCAAATAAGTTGTCATGCATTGTTATTCAACATGTTAATAGGATATTGTTTGAAAATAAAGAAAACTATATAAGGTACCATCAGAATATATGTTGAGATTGGAAAAAGTACCTCAATGCCATTAACAGTCGCTGTAAGACCTTTACCAGGAAAGTACTCAAAACTTTCAATGGAAACAGAAGGAAGGTCTTTTCCTGTACTATGGTCTACCACAGCTCTGGATGAAATAAATAAATAACTGGTCAATAATGTCACATGAAAGATGAACACTGGAAACATAAAATTACAATTTGAAGAAAGATAGAATGTTCTTATTCATCATGAATAAAAGCTTAATAAGTTCTGCAGTAATATGGAAAATACAAGATTATAAAAATTTGATGCACACAACTATATCAATTTCTACCGCACAATACCAGAAGGTACACATTGGTCACTCATAAAGGATGAAAATCAACTAAAAGTTTCATGTCATAGACGACCAAACTCATTAAGCTCTTCTAGACTCTCAATCAATTCACATTAAAAAAAAATATCAATCAGTTTCTTATCCTAAAAAAAGAATAAGCAAATTTGTCAAAACCTGCTGTTGAGAACAGAATATATCAACTAAAATTAAGTAGAATTGTTTTCAAATCTTTAAAAAGCTTAAACTCCAAACTAAGTTCGAAAACTAGACTAGTGAAATAGGATTCATATAGACAAATCACAATCTTCAGCAATTCAATTGCAACAGAGGATCAAATTATGAGCACAAGGATAACTTAAAGCAAGATAGATAATTAGGAACTTCAGCACAATAAATGCAACATTGGCAACGTGTATGGCAAGAAGTTCACCAGCACATTAGCACTTCAATTTTAAATGAGTCTTAGAAAGGCAATAAACATTGTGCAACGATGCAGTTCAAGCCTTTGTAATCAGATTTGTGGTAACCACCACTGTTACAAGGCAGTTCTGAGTAAAAATATTTCGACAATATAGATACTAAAGGTCAAGGATAGTTGAGCAGGGTCGTAGGAGACAAGCCCACAAGAAAAAAGGAACTGGAAAGACAGGTTGTACACACAATCGGCAAAGTACATACTGTCCCACAGTTTAATATGTAAATGCATTGAATAGCAGATTATGTAAAGCTAAAAGCTTTTGGCCAGGTCATCATGCCCTGCAAAAAGCTAAATATTACAGTGACGTACCATTTTCATGCCGTATCACAGTAATAATACAGAGATAAATACCAAAAATAGGAAACATCTGTTTGACAAACTACCTTCCGATAGGGTGAGTAGTACCCTTTTCCATGGCAGCTGCTACAGCTAGAGCTTCTGTTTCACAACTGGGAATGCAACAGGAAGAAAATTTTGTCTTCTCTTTTCTGCCCAAGTGCCCATAAATTGGTTCAATTGCTTTGAACATGAGTCCCCCAGTTGTCAATGTCCCAGTTTTATCAAATGCAATAGTGTGGCAAGAAGCTAAAGCATCTAGTACTTGTCCACCTTTAAGCAATATGCCCTGTAAAAAAAGACTTGTGTCACGGCCTGAAAAGCGGTTCATCTCACAGACGAAATTCAAATTATACAAAAACAAATCTCCATTTTGGATAATCTGGAATTTTTCAGTTTCCATTTATTTTTGTCCCACAATTAACTATTGATTATTCTCTCTGGAATATTTTCCCAATTTGCCAAAATTCATGATTTAACTATCTTATAAGTCAACCATATTTTATCTAGTGAACTTGAAAGGTTTTCAAATGAATTTCTTCTTTTTACTTTGATTGACGCTAATGAAACAACAGAAAAGGAGGGATAACCATATTGAATCAAGGATAACCTACACCTTTCCTAACACTTGACATCAGAAGAAATATTTTAAGCAAAAAATGTCCATAAGCAAATAAGATGACCAAGCCATCACATAAGTACTTAAATTGTGACAGTTAGTTGATTGGTACCTTTCTAGCACAAGAGCTAATAGCAGTTGCATATGCCAATGGAGCTACAGCCAAGGCACATGGTGAAGCTGCTACCATGAGACCCAATGCTCTATAGATTGATCCTCTGCATGCTACACAATTAACCAAGCATCAAAAAAGATAGAAGAACGTCCGAAAATCACAATATCTAAAGATAAGACAGAAACATCATAAAGAAATTGGTGAGAGAGAGACTATGAGATAATATGCTAAAGCATCAAACAGTAGGAGAGATACATTAGTACAGAAGCTCTTTCTTGTGCAGTAAAACTAATAACATCTCTATGAAATTTCAATTAGACAGGAAATATGAGAACTGAAGCACATGAACAGAAGAGTTAACTCTTTCTCCAAATTACCTGGTGTACCAATGAATGGCCACTTAAAAAGAAATGGCCCAATGAGAGCAATAGTGACTGATAAAACAACCACCACCTTGCTGTATTGCTCACCAAATTCGTCTAGCCACCTTTGAAGTTTTGGCTTCTTCAATTGTGCTTCTTCAGTCAACTGCACAATTCTACTAAGTGTGGATTCTTTCCAGGTCTTCGTAGCCTGACACAAATTTCGGAAGGAAACTTTATTTTTTAAGAAAAAAGAAAATGTATAACCATGAAATATAATAAGCAATGACAGAGGGGGAAAAAAAAAAAAAAAAAAAAGAAAGAAAAGAAAAAGAACACACATTTTGAAAGCTTTTGACTATTTATTCTCTCAGAGATTTCACAAGAGGTTTGAAGATCAAGAACAGAAAAATTCAATTTTTTTCAACATATCTCCTGCTGCAAAGTTTAAATGCCAGCAAACTGAAGAACATACCTTCACAATCATTCTACCATCCAAATTCCTTGCGCCACCAGGAATCCTGTCCCCAACCGTAGCCTCTACGGGTTTGACTTCCCCAGTCAAGTGTTCAATTGTAATTGTTGCACTACCTTGGAAAACTTCACAATCTACAGGAACAGCCTAAACAAAATTCCACACCCACTAAGAAACTTCTATATTCTAGCATGACATTCAAAAAGTTAAAACTTAAATTGGAATAGCATTTTCACATTTCTATCTAATAATTAAATTTTTTAATAAAAACTAACTCGAAATAGGGCTGGAAAAGGTGGTTACATCATAAGCAAGAAGGAAAGGTCAACAAGATAAAAGCCAAAATCAGTTGACTGGACTGCTTGCTAGATGCAATCGAAGAAACAAATATACTTAATTTCATATAGGAGTGCCAATTGAAAAAATGCTGCCAGAACGGAGAAAAAAGTGATACTTTTGTTTTCACAGACCTCACCAGCTCCAACCAAAATATACGAGCCAACTTCCACGTCATACACAGGAATACTTCTATATGCCAAATCAGAGATGTCTGGTACATTATCATCATTAACATCCAGCACAAGAGCAGAATCTGGATAATTTTCCTTCAACTCTTTAACATCCACCATTGAGCGGCTGGTGAAAAACTCTTCAGCTACACAACCAATATAAATTAGAGCATGAAACTTAACTTTGTCCCAATATCTGTTTGCCAATACTCAAGTTTAAAATGCTTACCAATGTGAGCCAGATTGAACATTGCAAGAAGCAATCCTCCTTCCAAGGAGTTTCCCATAAATACTGATGCAAAGGCTGCAAGAGCCATCAGTACATGGATGTTTACTTTTCCACCAGCAATATCAGTAATAGCATCAAGTGATGCTGAGACCTGACACGCGACAATAATATTAAATGAAACAAAGAAAACACTCAAGCTTGTACTCTAGACCATTTTAAGGAAACCAGGTCCTCGAGAAAATACCACAAAATGCCACAGATCCTACAAAATTTATTTCATATAAAGGAAAGATTCTTAAAAATAAAAGGAAAAAATTCTAAACATTCAGCAGGATATAAAGAGCCTGTTCCATAAACCAACAAAAATACAATCTTAGTAGTGTTTTAAGTAATCATTTGGCTCAAAAGCTTAAGCTAGTAGGTCCATAGACACAATTTAATATAAGTTCATATCACAACAAGATGATTCGAACACAAAACCACTTGGTCAACTTGGATGCGGCACAAGTTTAAGTACCTCACTACTTGACCCAAGCTAATAAGGCCTCAGCAACGGTCTTTAAGCTTTAACGTTATAAATCAATTACATAATCCACCTTTCCAGAGTACCAGATGATTATGATCAAGAAAGAGATTTCATATAAAGGAAAGAATATCAAAATAGTAAGCAATAGTTCAAAAAGACTTGGTTGACATGATCAAAGTTCTCATCCCTCACCTGTATTTACAGTTATTTTCCCTGATAAATCATAAGACCATGCTTTAACTGACAAATTAATATTTCCTTCTAACCATACTAAGAAGGACATGTAATTCCCATAAACAAGGGCACACACAATCATCACCCAGAAGAAAGAAGCTCATCATCCTAAATCACACGTTATAAAAACAATAACATAATGAAGTTCATCTAATAAACTCGTACGAGGAAAAATGAACAGTTAGAAAAGTTGTAAGTCATAAGTCATATTCAAACTACAAAAGGATGGAAAAAAAAAAAAAAATTCTCAATCAAAGCAAAATAAGCCCTAAATTATCAGTTGAAATGCCGAAATTAAGAAAAAAAAAACAAAAAAAAAAAAGGATGGAAACGAAATGTTTACCCCAACCAGAGGAAAAGCAAGAAAGATAAAAGCATTCTGCAAAGGCTTAACCGCCGGCTTGGGCAACAAATAAGGACAAGCTGCAGCAGCTAAAAACAAAGCCGTGGCAGAACAGCAAAGGTGCAAATGCTCTCTCAAGAAATTCGCTAAATCTAACCATCTTGTGGCTTTAGCAAATTTAATCACGGCTTTCTGAGGCCCGCTCAGCTCAGTACAATTTTCATGGTGGTGGTGGTTATGGTGGTGATGATGATGATGATCTTGATGGTGATGGTGATGACGATCGTGGTGGTGGTGGTGATTATTATGGGCCTCAGCAAAGCAAGTAACGGGGCGGTGTCTGAGTGAAAAAGAAAGGGAAAAGGGTTTGAATGTGAGTGAGTTGAGTCGTTTGAATCGTGAAGAGCGAGTTAGAGAGGGAAAACTCGTGAGGCGGAAGGTGGAATGGAGAAGAGTAGTTTCCATTGTCGAAGAGAGCTCAAGGGCCAAAAAGCATTGAGTTAGTTGGAGGTGCAGCTGTTCTCTCTCTCCCTTCTTGAGTCTTATTTTTATTTCAACTATTTTTTGCCTTTGGAGTTTGGAATTGGATGTCGTTATAGAATCCACACTATGACCTCATTTGGAGGCCTCCTACTTCACTCTTATTGGCTGCCCCAAATAATATTTCAATCACTCGTGGTACATTTACAAAATTGACATCCTAAATTTGTGTCCTAATATATTACAGTTGATTTGACAACACTTATTCAATAGAGCTACATATGCAAAGGTGGGATTTCAAATTACAGTTAATTTCACAGCATCTCCTCCATTATAAGATGATGAGATAAGATCCAAATTTTGATTCAACAGCTAAACATTTAACATTATCAAATGTTTAATAACTATTTTAACACTTTTTTTTTTTTTTTTTTTAATTTCTTCTAAATGTATGACATTTTATTTGCCAGTATTACTCTTTAAAACTACTAAATTCAAGAATTTATTGTTGTGCAAGCCTTTGGATGACCAGATTTGTGCCCTTATCCTTACACCATGTTGAGATTTGACGGCTAAGCTCACCTCATGTGTCGCCCCCATAACGGATGACTTCAACAACAAGTTTATCATAATTAAGCATGGGTGTTCAGACTCAAGTATGGGGAGGCCTAACTTAAATTTGGATTACGGGGGATTATACGCGTAATCCACCTCGTAACAACCACTCCCAACCCTAATAAGGAGTGTATAAAAGGGAGACTCCACCTGGAACTATCTACACAAGAACAAAAAACTCACTGAGAGGGAGTTTAACTTCGCTTTTATGTGTTTTTCTTTATAATCATATTATGTATAAAGCAAATACTACGCAATAATATGTCAGTGTACGTAAGCTTAATTCCAACTCGCCGAACCACTTTAAAAGTTGTCTTTATGCTCTCATCATCTCTTCACGAATTCAATTTCTAAACTGGTTATTCTAAACCACACACACATCCTACCTAATCTCGTCAAAGATCAACTAGACATGTCTGGGTTGTTGCGTTTTTACGTAACAACATTTATAAATTTCTTTTGGTTTCTTTAAAATCATAACTGTAACATTATAATAGAAATGTTAATTTTACTAAAAACGATTCAGGACTTTTGATAATGTTCTGGTTCACTTCTTGCATAATGGCCCCCGTCTACTGGTAAAAATCAATGAGAGAGAGACAGTGAGATTAAATGGTGGGAAAAAAAGCCCAATACGTGTTCAAAGAATGAAGTCAAAAAGCCCATTGCTACAGCTTCCTTGCCCATTATCCTCAAGGAAACTTTCCATAAATAGCATTATAGATTCTGTAGACAGTCAACCCAAAATTTGGATAGTCCACAGAGGAAAAACGGATTTTTCTTGGCAATTTATGTCCGTACAGAGCAGTTGCTGAATACGAACACCTCTGGAAGGGAAGGAGGGATATACTCATATACGTCCCCTACATCTTCAACTTGATAAGCTATGACGTTTGTGATGAGCAAAATCAGTTACTCTAAGGTCCCACTGGCGGCTATAATCAAGGCATTACTGAAACTCTCATACTTGCCAATCAAGTCTTCTGCATTACCTTATAATATATATTATAAACTTTTTCTTGGCCGCCACTATGGTCTTGAACTCCATTATTTTACGTTTTATTTTGGTTCGAATGCGTTGCATCTCGCTTAATATATTGATTTACGAATCAGTATCTCCACTCAATATTTAATTATTTGAGCTGCAGAATCATGATCAATGGCTACAAAATCTGAAAGAAGTGAATATTAATAACACGTCTTCATCTATCTCTTACTTTTTCTTTCCTTTTTTGTAGTCCTTGTAGTTCACATCGATTCAAGCAAGCAAATATGGAGGAAAAAGAGTAATTGGTTGGGCAGCTAGAGACCCTTCTGGACATCTGTCACCTTTCTCCTTCAGTCTCAGGTTTTACTTTCTTATGTTACTCTGTTTTATTAATTCTCTCACAAGATGCAATTGGCTAATGTTTCAATTTCCTCATAAAATAGGAAAGTAGAACCTGAAGATGTGTTGTTCAAGGTTTTGTACTGTGGAATGGACCATACTGATCTTCATCAAATAAGGAGAGAGATTCATCCGCCAACATACCCTTTGGTCCCAAGGTAGATTCCTTTCTCTTCAACCGTTTGAAACTACTGTAATTGTTAAATTATGTTTTACTGAATTCTTAATTGGTTGTGTTAAGGCATGAAGTTGTGGGAGAAGTTATGGAACTTGGTTCAAAAGTGAAGAAATTCAAAGTTGGAGACATTGTGGGAGTCGGGGGATTAGTAGGATCTTGTGGGGAATGCTTCTGCTGCATTTCCAACATGGAAAACTACTGTAATGGTAGAATTCCCACCTATAATGGCATCTACAAAGATGGAGCACCGACACAGGGAGGCTACTCTTCAGCCATGGTTGTTCATCAAAAGTATGACAAAACCTACCAAACATCATACCAACACTTCAATTTCTATTTACTATTTTCCAACTAATATGCGATGTGAACACAGGTTTGTGATAAAGATTCCAGCAAATCTGGCACCAAAACAGGCTGCACCACTACTATGTGTCGGTGTCACGGCTTATAGTCCCTTGAAGCAATTCAGAAACTCCTGCAAGGTTATGAGGGCAGGAATTTTGGGTTTAGGTGGAGTTGGTCATTTCGGCGTCCTAATAGCAAAAGCAATGGGACATCATGTGACTGTGATAAGTTCTTCCGATAAGAAAAGGGTGGAGGCTTTAGAGCACTTGGGCGCTGATGATTATGTGGTAAGCTCCAATGTGGCAGAGATGGAGAGAGCATCAAATAGCCTTGACTATATACTAGACACTGTTCCAGTTTTTCACCCTTTGAATTCCTACATTCCTCTGCTCAAGATTGACGGGAAGCTAATTTTAGTTGGTGCTGCTTCAAAAACCCCTTTAAGTGGATGCATTGGAATTAATTCTGGGTATGTGCTTTCGTGATTTACTGAATTTTCATTCCAATTTTTGATACAAATATGTAATTTAGTTTAGTTAAATAATTGAGAGATTTTGTTGCAATGAATTAATACAGGGAAGAAAACACTAACAGGAAGTTTCATTGGAAGTGTGAAAGAGACACAGGAAGTAGTGGATTTTTGGGTAGAGAAAGGATTGAAATCAATGATAGAGGTGGTTAAAATGGATTACGTGAATAAGGCATTCGAGAGAATGGAAGGAAATGATGTAAGGTACAGGTTTGTACCGGATGTGGCTGGCAGCAACCTTGAAGAATGATTCAACCATCTTTCTACATTGAAAATAAAATAGCATTTCTAAATGAGCTCGCTTTTTCTTTGGGGGTTTTTACTTTTTCATACCGTACAATAATAATTCCAAGGGGATGGAGAGACCATAACCATCCTCAGTTTGTGATCCGGTCCTTCCTCAGGCAACTGAGTTTCTCATTTTCTTTTCTTCTTTTGATACGATTGATTGAATAAACTAGTTTCTCTTCGTACATACGGCAGATATTTTCTCTTATATTCATATTGTGCACTCTATTTTAAAAGCTGAACCAGACTGGCCGGTCTAACCGGTTCGATCGGGACCCAGTTGTGTGTCTGGTCTGAACTAATATAAAACCCGCTATTACTTAAAAACCATTTAAACCTGTTATCAAACAGGATGAACAGTGCGACCCGCTCGGTCGAACCAAACCGCTTGGTAAACCGGGTCAATGTTTAAAATGAAAAAACCTTAAATCTGATTTATTTTTCACGCGACTCCACTTCTCCACTCTCTTCAATCTCTCAACTCTCCAAAATCGCGACTCCCTTCTCAGATAACTGCACTCAGTCTCAATTCAATCTCTCAACTCTATCTCAACTCCACTCTCCCTTGGACCCTTACTCGACGACGGCAGCACCTCCCTTGCTAGATTTCAACGATAACGCACTTCTCTTCTCCCTTGCTCGGCGACGGCAACACCTCCCTCACTGGATTTCAGCAACGATGCACCTCCCTTCTCCCTTGCTCAATGAAGGCAGCATCTCACTCGCTGGATTTCGACGATGATGCACCTCTCTTCTCCCTTGCACGACGACGACGCCTCCCTCCTTCGCTGGAATCAATGATGGGAACACTTCTCCTACTCAAAATCGATGAAGACGACGCCTCTCTCTTCCAGAAATATCGCTGGAATCGACGATGACAACACTTCTCCTGCTCAAAATTGACAAAAACAATGCCTCTCTCTTTTGTAAAGATATTTCCACTTTTTTTTTATTTTTTTAATGAATCTATTGCTTTAATGGATAATTTGTTCATTGAATTTGTATGTAAAAGACACTGGCGGTTTTGTTATTAATTATTATGTATTTTATTATTTAATTTGTAATAGATGATGTTTGGAGACTTAATTTGTAATGGATGATGTTTGGGGACTTTGGATTGTAGTTAAATTGGGATTGTTATTGAGTTTGAATTGGATAGTAGTTCAGTTGATATTTAGAAATTTTCAAAAAAAAAAAAAATATATTTTGTTTTGGCTGTGCTAACATCATTGGTCCAACCGGTTGGACCAATTGACCCGGGCAGTGAAGTGGGTTATCCGGGTTAGAGCTGGGCAAGGGACCGGTCCCTTGCGGGCCCAGGCCTGGGCCCGTTTGGGACTGGTCCTAAATGGGACCAGTCACTCATCGATCCCAGGCCCATGAGAAAAACCAAGACCCAGACCAGGCCTTAGGCCTGGTCGGGACTGGTCCCATGGGCCCAGGACCGGTCCCATGGGCCCAGGACCGGTCCCATGGGGTTTGGATAATTTATTTTCTCCTCTTAATTTTTTTTATATTTTGGGGGCAAAACAAAATTTTATAGGGGGTTTTTAGTATTTTTTAGGGGTTGATTAGTAAGTTTCTACACCTTTCTCCTTCAGTCTCAGGTTTCACTCTCTTATGTTACTCTGTTTTATTAATTCTCTCACAAGATGCAATTGGCTAGTGTTTCAATTTCCTCATAAAATAGGAAAGTAGAACCTGAAGATGTGTTGTTCAAGGTTTTGTACTGTGGAATGGACCATACTGATCTTCATCAAATAAGGAGTGAGATTCATCCGCCAACATACCCTTTGGTCCCAGGGTATATTCCTTTCTATTCAACCGTTTGAAACTACTGTAATTGTTAAATTATGTTTTACTGAATTCTTAATTGGTTGTGTTAAGGCATGAAGTTGTGGGAGAGGTTATGGAACTTGGTTCAAAAGTGAAGAAATTCAAAGTTGGAGACATTGTGGGAGTCGGGGGATTAGTAGGATCTTGTGGGGAATGCTTCTGCTGCATTTCCAACATGGAAAACTACTGTAATGGTAGAATTCCCACCTATAATGGCATCTACAAAGATGGAGCACCGACACAGGGAGGCTACTCTTCAGCCATGGTTGTTCATCAAAAGTATGACAAAACCTACCAAACATCATACCAACACTTCAATTTCTATTTACTATTTTCCAACTAATATGCGATGTGAACACAGGTTTGTGATAAAGATTCCAGCAAATCTGGCACCAAAACAGGCTGCACCACTACTATGTGTCGGTGTCACGGCTTATAGTCCCTTGAAGCAATTCAGAAACTCCTGCAAGGTTATGAGGGCAGGAATTTTGGGTTTAGGTGGAGTTGGTCATTTCGGCGTCCTAATAGCAAAAGCAATGGGACATCATGTGACTGTGATAAGTTCTTCCGATAAGAAAAGGGTGGAGGCTTTAGAGCACTTGGGCGCTGATGATTATGTGGTAAGCTCCAATGTGGCAGAGATGGAGAGAGCATCAAATAGCCTTGACTATATACTAGACACTGTTCCAGTTTTTCACCCTTTGAATTCCTACATTCCTCTGCTCAAGATTGACGGGAAGCTAATTTTAGTTGGTGCTGCTTCAAAAACCCCTTTAAGTGGATGCATTGGAATTAATTCTGGGTATGTGCTTTCGTGATTTACTGAATTTTCATTCCAATTTTTGATACAAATATGTAATTTAGTTTAGTTAAATAATTGAGAGATTTTGTTGCAATGAATTAATACAGGGAAGAAAACACTAACAGGAAGTTTCATTGGAAGTGTGAAAGAGACACAGGAAGTAGTGGATTTTTGGGTAGAGAAAGGATTGAAATCAATGATAGAGGTGGTTAAAATGGATTACGTGAATAAGGCATTCGAGAGAATGGAAGGAAATGATGTAAGGTACAGGTTTGTACCGGATGTGGCTGGCAGCAACCTTGAAGAATGATTCAACCATCTTTCTACATTGAAAATAAAATAGCATTTCTAAATGAGCTCGCTTTTTCTTTGGGGGTTTTTACTTTTTCATACCGTACAATAATAATTCCAAGGGGATGGAGAGACCATAACCATCCTCAGTTTGTGATCCGGTCCTTCCTCAGGCAACTGAGTTTCTCATTTTCTTTTCTTCTTTTGATACGATTGATTGAATAAACTAGTTTCTCTTCGTACATACGACAGATATCTTCTCTTATATTCATATTGTGCACTCTGTTTTAAAAGTTGGACCGGACTGACCGGTCTAACCGATTCGACCGCAACCTAATTGTGTGTCTGGTCTGAACTAATATAAACCTGCTATTACTTAAAAACCATTTAAACCCGTTATCAAACTGGATGAACAGTGCGACCCGCTCGGTCGAACCGGATCGCTTTGTAAACCAGGTCAATGTTTAAAATTAAAAAACCCTAAATTTGATTTATTTTTCACGCGACTCCACTTCTCCACTCTCTTCAGTCTCTCAACTCTCCAAAATCACAACTCCCTTCTCAGATAACTGCACTCAGTCTTGATTCAATCTCTCAACTCTACTCTCCCTTGGACCCTTGCTTGACGACGACAGCACCTCCCTCGTTGGATTTCGACAATAACGCACTTCCCTTCTCCCTTGCTCGACGACGGCAACACCTCCCTCACTGGATTTCGGTGACGATGCACCTCCCTTCTCCCTTGCTCGACGATGGCAGCACCTCCCTCGCTGGATTGCGTCACTTGACGATGGCAACACCTCCCTTCTCCCTTGCTCGACGAAGGCAGCATCTCACTCGCTGGATTTTGGCGATGATGCACCTCCCTTCTCCCTTGCACGACGACGACGCCTCCCTCCTTCACTGGAATCAACGATGACAACACTTCTCCTACTCAAAATCGAAGAAAGACAACGCCTCTCTCTTTTGGAAATATCGCTGGAATCGACGATGACAACACTTCTCCTACTCAAAATCGACGAAAACGACGCCTCTCTCTTTTGTAAAGATATTTCCACTCTTTTATTTTTATTTTTTATTTTTTTTATATGAATCTATTGCTTTGATGATGTTTGAATTTGTATGTAAAAGACACTTGCGGTTTTGTTATTAATTATTATGTATTTTATTATTTAATTTGTAATGGATGATGTTTGGAGACTTAATTTGTAATGGATGATGTTTGGGGACTCTGGATTGTAGTTAAATTGGGATTGTTATTGAGTTTGAATTAGGTAGTAACTAAGTTGATATTCTGAAATTTTCAAAAAAAAAATATATATTTTGTTTTGGCTGTGCTAACATCACTGGTCCAACCGACCAGTCTAACCGATTGGACCAGTTGACCCGGACAGTGATGTGGATTGCCTTCCGGTCCGGGTTTTAAAACAATGATTGTGTATTGAAGATTATTCATTTTACATTCAATAAACCATCAACATTAACGACAGAGCCTGGCACAATTCTGTCATGAAAGCAGCAGTGCAAAGAAAAGGAACATTCTTCAAGGTTTGAATTGAAATCGAGAAATGCATATCATGAACAGAGCAATTACAATTAACTGTCTTCATTGTACAAAAACAAGTCTTGAATTGACATCACTCAGCCACCTACCTGAAAGAAACCAAAAGGTAACAAAATGCTAGTAGTGTTACAACAATTGGATGCTGCCTTCTAGGATTGTTGAAGCAAAAGACTATCATGCTAAGGTTGTCATGAAACTCAGTGGCAACACCATCTACTGACGTCAATTATTACAATGAAGATAGCAGAGCGTTTTCGTAGATCCATCAGTCATCTTTTCCTTTGGCATTATCATCAGAAACACTAGATCCATCATAGGTAGAAAGAAAATAAGTACTTTGATTCTTCTGCAGCCACCTGCTTGACATCGAAGATGATTATTTCTCAGGCAAAGCATTTTTGGAGCGCAGATTTTTCAAACACTAAAGTAATCATACTTTGAGCAATTTAAATTTCTCTAAAAGTTCAAGAACATAACAAGTAGGGATTGAGTTCATACTTGAGAAAGTCAGTCAATTTCTGCTGCATGCGGGTCAGAGTTTCATCTTCAATGTTAACATATGCCAATAGCTCTGGCAACTTAACTGCAAACACAAAAAAGAACAAGTAAAAATACACTAAACAAACGTTCAAAGTTTATGCACTATATAGAAAGATAATACATGAATATTAAAGTTTTATGTAGATCATCTCCAGTTTAAAATCTGAAAGGGGGAGAATAAATTTGCATACAGCTCAACCAAACTTCAATAGATAATTGCAAAACAAATACATAATTAAATAGAGCAATCTAATACTAAAGTTTTCATAAAAAAATACTATTTCATAAAAAAATACTATGTAAAAAGCGTATTTTATGACATTTTATTAAAACAAACCAACAGTGAAGGTTCAAATCGACTAGCACTTATGAATGGGCATACCAAAGAGGCGTAACAAATGTTCAGCACCATATATGGTAGATGGGGAAACATTATCTATGACTACATCATGATACTGTTCACGTTCTTTTTTGTAAAGAAGCATCGCAGGCAACGCTTTGTCAAAGTAAAGCCGAATGCCTCTCATGATTTCCGCAACTGTATCAACCATCCTGTATCCAAGAAAAATATGTACATGTCACCATTACAACTGCGATCTTAGGAATTTCAAATGGTAATTGACGTAACAATAGGATTTCAATTTATTCAATACAGCCTAACTTAACGTAAATTCACAATTTCTTCAAAACTCACAATCTCCACTGGAAGTAATTTACAGATGTAACAGCAAGAGAGCATGAAGAATATATGTGAGCATGGCACCACAGAGCACAATCATGTGTTTAGCATCCAAATGTTTCTGCTTCTGAGAGTGAACAAAGTAGGAGCTAAACTCCTCTCAAGTAGTTGGTAATTAAAAATATCATCTTAATTTATGACCCAAGTTGATTTTTTCACATTCTGACTGACAAATTAAATTTTTACAACCACTCTCATTCCTAATGAGTACACTTTCAAACAGTCAATACACAAACCTACAATTACAAATATTTAGTAGAAAACTATGACACTTCTGCTCATTATTAAAGTTAAAGAGATCAACACTTTTCAATCTGATTCAGCAAGATAGAAGAGAATTACCTTAATCACATAATGATAACAGAACAAATGTAATAAATTCATGTTACAGTTAATGTAAGGTAGAAAGCAACAAAAGTTCACATGACAAGCATATACATAAAAAGAAAATAATGCTAAAGATATGGACTTAGAAGTAAAACTTACAAGCCGTCCTTCTTTGTTCGGTATTGAATGTACTTTGTCAAAATCTCATCAACATTGGGTGAACGTGGAAGTTTAACAAGCTGCAGAAGGAAAGAATTATCTTATGATGGGCACAAACACACATATATAGCAATCCAAAACTTTATATAAGCTCCCCTAAATATGTCTGACCCGAAAAAATTTATTATATTTTTAAAGATATATTCAACTGTCAACCCATCAAAGCAGAGCACCATAATAATGACTATATAACCTACATCCCGGGATTTAAAATCACTGCTTTGCTTCACACATGTTCATAACATTATTTTAGATGATTATTGTAAACACCGTATAATCACACATAATAGATGTACATAAAACCATACTCTATAATGGAAAAAAAAAAATGAAAAATGATAGTTAAATGGCATACACATAAAATTTTAGATAATAATACATATTCATAATCCTACATTCTACAAAAAATAATTAAAAGGTACAAAAGTAGAAAGGTCTACAGATTATTGATTTTCATGGCTTGCAAACCCCAATAAATTACAATAAAGTTAGCAGAACTCACTGGTTAAATTAACTTGCAAGCTCTCAACTAACATTGGAAGAAAAAGAACAAATTGATAAATTCATCAGAGACACTGACTAAATAAATATTTATATGAAGCACATATGATGGATCTCCATATGAGCAATGGGGTAAAAATCTATGGTTGCAGTCCAAGCATTATGATTAGCTTGAATGAAATTTAATGGCAAAGTAAACACCAAACAGAATGTGGTCAATGTCAGGGGGACGCTATGGTTTCAAGGCTTATTCACCAGTTACGCTTCCACTTAGAAGTGGACTGGCAAATATTGAATTGCATGAAAACATCTCATCCTTCAAATTTCCCAAGAAAAGAAGAAGGAATATCTTCGTGAAAACAGCCAAAGCATGATGATAAATTTACTCTATTTAAACTAAAATCTTATCCACGCATCGTTGATATAAAAATAGCATTCCAACAGTTCATAACAAATATACCTGATCCTGCTGAGTAACAAATTCCCAATCATCAACAAGCTGCTTCTTTAAGGCTGAAGGAATTTGTATCTTGATCAACCTTTCTAAAGATAGATTATCCTTCTAATGATGTAAACCACATGTTGCACAACAATATTTAAAGGAGCCAATGTTAGAACCTTATAAGGAATATTAGGAATGCATATAACTTTCCAAATGAAGCAGTCATGTGTGCATGTGCAATTTTCTCCAGATTTGAAGAATATATTAGAAAAAACATATTAGTGAAAGCAAGAAAATGAGGTCTCAAACTAGGAAATTGCATCTCTGCTCCTCATCACCAATATCTTCTCTCTATTGTTATTGTGAAACCCATTAATTAGATTTAAAACACACTAAGTCTATATGCACATATCAGAGGGGACTTATAATATATAGGAAGCAACCAAGTGGGATAGCAGGTGATTCAACAGAAAGACAAATGTTCTTTTGATCTAAGAAAAGACAACTATTCAAGTATTATGTTTAGTTATATACAAACCAGACCTCTACACCCGAGTCACTCTTTCGCTTCTTCCCTTTTGCCACTGCAATAAATATTGACATATGTTATATAGCATGAATTTCAATGCCCTTTAAAACATATATTATTTTTAAAATGTTGTAAGATGTACTACACAACTTGAAGGGCAAAAGAGGTAGGTAGCTCTGTTTGTGAATCACATGAAATTTCAATTTTTAAGTTTGTTCACATTGCATTTAGGAGAAAAAATTGTACTGCTGCAAGAAATCCCATTGACAGCAGGCAATCATTTTTGATGTTTTTCACAATGGCATTCCTAAATTTTCAAAAGGACTTGTGCAACTGTTGAAAAATGATGGAATATAATTACCAGATACCATGTATGATAATGTTTCCATTTCTGTTATATACAGGATGACCAAGCACTTGACATAACTTTAAAAATCACAATATAGGGAACTAAAAGTTACTGGATAAAGCAATGACAAATATCAGGTACAGTAAGAACAGCATCATGTAAATATAAAGGGCTGGCAATCGCTTTTACCACAAAAACAAACACACTATAAGGCAATAAAAATTTCAACAGAAAGAAGCCCAGTAATAACTCTAATGAATGATACTGGTGATAATTTAAAAAACGAAAAACTATCACATCTAGAAGGAGGATCAAAAAAGAAAAATAGATAATTGATAAAGATAATAAATACCATTGCTCTTCAGGTCATCTTTATCCACCTTTGCATCTATAAATCAGAAGTAAAATCAGTAGTCAATAGGGTGGTAAAAGGGCATTTATAATTAATTTGTCAAACACTTGAAATTCCCAATGAGTCAAGAGTTAAAAAAAACTTCCATATGAACGAAAAGAATTGTCAGTTATGCCTTTTGTCTAGAACATAATGCATAAAAGATGAACTTAGACTCTGCGATTGAATTTAACTTTTAACAAGATAAAAGGGCTCCAAATCCTGATGAATTCATTAAGGCAATCATTTAGAACAGCTATAAACTCATTAGCCGTCATTCAACAGGAATGTTCACATCACCCCTTCCATTGTTGTGGTTAATGTTTAAATCACCAATGCTCTTCTAGTCCTCCACTTGCTGGACTGTAATTGGCCTATTCAGAAACAGTCTCCACAATATCATACGGCAAAAGCCATAACCAAAAGGTTCAAGGTGAACCTTTAACTCTCAAAATCCTAAAAGAAGGTACTTTTATTTACAAGAGACCTAAACAGTATTAATTATACCTATAATATTTATGGATAACTGCATTAAATACCTGTTTGAAGAAGCCATTATCAAGATTGAGTTTAAGAAATCTCATTACCATGCAGACTCCTAATTCTAGATCATGATTTGAGGAAAAAAGACTTCTACTGGTTTCTCTATACTTGAATCCTGGTTATACTCTAGATTCTAAGGACAATAATCTGGAACCAAAAGATTAAGCCTCACAGGAATCACAATCAATTAGCATCCAATGTTGACAAAATCAATTTAAGTACCCCAAAACCCCTAAAGGGGATTTGGGAAAATATTAAACATGAAAGAGAAGTGATCCTAAGAACATCTAAGCACACATTGGAGAAACATAATAATATAAATATGAAAATTCATTGTCAATTTTGTGCATACAGCCAACAATGGTCCAGTATGCCTTGGGAATATTCACTGCATACTACCCTGAACCAGTAAACCTAATTCCAAAAAAAAAAAAAAAAAAAACAAAGAAAAAAGACTTTTCGGGGGTCGGAGAAGGCTAAGATTATGCTTGCCTAAGGATACTGTACGCAGAAACACCCACATAAAAACGCTTACATATAATGAAGAGCTGATATTCAAGCTTTTAAGACTTTCTGCATTCATAAGTGAATAAGTTAAAATATAAAATGAGATGAGCTAACCAGTTGAACCTTTTTGCTTTGAATGAGCAGAACGTCCAGACTTTGAACTCTTGTCAACACCCTGTTTTTTTTGGAGAGCTTGCTGCTTCATTAAATTCTCTTCAGTATGTTTCAATAGCCGGTCCGCGCCAACCCATTCGTCCCAACTGTTGGCAAGATTTCCAAGCCATTTATATGATTTCTGTATCCCTTTTTGAAAAGGTTGATAAATATTAATAAATGCACACTTCCCCATTCTCTCTCTGTGAAAAGATTTTTCCTCAAATAAAATGTTTCATTGTTGTGCAATCCACAAAGAATAGACTCTTGTCCAGATCACAAGCATCTCCAACAAAAGTTTAAAAAGGGCTGAATATGTCCAACAACATATTCTAAAAATGTCCATGCGAACATAACCCTCCCCAAGTCCATAAAATCAATACAATGTTCAATTTACAAGGTATCAATCTCATAGGCCCAACTGACAGTATAAAATTTGCAAATTGCTCAAACGTTGAAATAAAAAAACAAGTGTGACTGGACTCTCCATTAAAAAAGACATATGAAAGCATGGTTAATATAAATAGTTGAGCATCCTACTTTAATATAAATAGTCATTTTGGTTTGATTTGCAAGGTATCAAGATATTTTTTTCTTAGACTCAGAATATTAGTTGCCAAAAACTTCATTATTGAGAAAGCATTTTTTATATAAAATAGTCACATTAAAAAAATACATTACATAATCCCAATTTGTGTTGACTGTTAATAAACTATATTTCTTCCACCACTCGAGAGACAATATTTATTATGGCGTCTAGTTTAAGTTATTTCATTGAAAGGAACTAACAGAATACCAAGTAATCAAATTCTGTGCTTTGTTCAAACATCATGCCACATTTCGGGGAGTGCAATCTGAATTAGATGACTAGAGTACTAAATATTGTGGTACAGTAAGAAAGAAAAAGAGGAAAAGACCTAAAATACCAGCACTTTGTATGTCATTAAGATAACAAATCAAACTCGAAACGTATAGCCAGGAGAATACAGCAGAAGGCATACTCACTTTTTATTCCAACCCTGCAAAACAACAAATTCTTTATCATTTAATATTGTAATGAGGTAAACTTTGTTCACCCACCATAGTCAGTGGTTCAAACATTTAGATTAAAAAGCTAAAATACAAACTGCTGTAACTTAAAGGAATTCCCCAAGAAAATACAAAAACATGATATGAAGTAATTTCTTAAGGAGAAAGAAATGAGACAGAGAGACGGGCAGACTCACAAGATAGTGAACATAGTATCTCCACTCTTTCTTTCGCAACTCAGCCTTTTGAACCTAAAACATAAATGCACAGTAAGTCAAACAAGAACCACTTGAATAAAAAAGTACTACATTACTATTTTGACAGAATTAGTAATTCCTACATTAATACATGAAGAGCAGAATTCCTACATTAATACATGAAGAGCAGAAGTTAATCGTAAAACAGATTTGACATTGAAAAATTCTGCATTGCACCAATGTGAAACAACACATCATCTTTACCAACATCAAACCAAAGTCACCTTATAAAACAGGCTTAATTATGTCTATGGATATTTCTTTCATTTCTCCATCCAACAGGATATTGAAGCACAACAGCAAGTACAATATCTCACTTTCCCAACTTAATGAAAACATATTGTGTTCTCACGGTCATCGCAAAACAAGAACTTTTTACATCACATCACCTATTTAGACTAAAAGCAAAATAAAAATTGAAACTTTCCATTCACATTATCAGTAACTCCAAAACCAAAAACCCCCATTAAATTTATTACAGCAACTATGACTCAATTAAGTAAAATTGATGACAACAAACACACTAACACAATAAACCCTAATTTCACTAATCAAAACGTTAAACTTTAAGAAAGAATCAAAAGAACTATTAGAGAATAAATAAAGCAACAAGACAGAAAAGTAAGAAAATGAGCTTATCTTAAGAATTAAAAGGCAGATGGAAAAAGAAAGAGAAAATTAAAAAAAGAAATGCCTTGGCTTCGTAGATGCGAGGGCCATGATAAGCGAGGACTCGCTCGCCCTCGGAGAAGAGGCTGGAATCGGGGGAAGGCGTTTCCCTGCTGGAGGTGTCACCGTCGCTGGCTGTGTCCTCCTTCGACGAGCTTCCCATTCTTTTTTCAATCTATTAGAAGCAGAGACACGATTTTTCTTTTTTCTTTCTTCTTTTTTGGCTTAAATTTTCTGCAACGCTCTCTCTCTCTCTCTCTCTCTGTGTCGCAGTGTCGCTCGCTCTGCTACGACTGGTCCGGGTCGGTTTCTCACTTTCTCTCCTTTTACCCGGTTCGAAGTGGTTTTAAGAATCAGACTTACTTTTAGCCCCGATATTTTAACCATGTTATCGTATAATGTTAAACAGATCCCTTCAATTTAGAATGTTCTAAACTCGTCCCTAACTAAAGTAGATCACCGACGACCATTGACTTAACTGTTTAAGTCCAGAATGTATATAGTAATTTATAGAATTCGGTTTGTTTCTTGTATTCAAAAGTTAGTTACAAAATAAAATTTCTTATTATTGGAATTGGACCAATCAGAGTTGATGTTATAACATATCTTCTATCCAAATCATGCAGAAATATATATCTAACAACAAGATTAATGTTAATTTCTTCAATTAATTTGAGAAATTGGATATTTATATGGTAATACTGTTGGTGCTGGAAGTTGATCAAAATTGATGATTAGTAGGGCTGTAATTAAACCTGTAATATTTATATTTTCTTTTTCTTTTTACTTCAAAGTTCAAAGTTTAGACAAGCAAAAACGTGTCAGTCCAGGACTCCAGGAATATGCTAGCTAAAAGAAAACTGGGCTTCAGATTCTGCAATTGACTCGGGCCTCAACTGATGTGACTCACGTTATATGAACCCACTTAAAACTTTTTCTTATGAATAATTTTAGATTTAAAATAACTATTTATTTAATTATATTCAGATTCTTATATTACAATGACTTCTGTGTCCTCCTCATTCCAAATCAATACTTAACTGTTCCAATTTTATGATTTTTCGTAATCTATTAAAAGAGAGTAAACGACATGTAACCACCCAAGGTTTGGTGAATCTATAAGTTTCCACCTGGTTTCATAAATTCCAAATTTTCACTTTTAAATTAACAAAAAGTCGTTTAATATAACGGTTAAAGGGTAAAATGGTCATTTGTATTGTATTAAATCTGATATGAAAATAAAAATTTTAACATAACCCTCTATATTTCAAATTTCTTCCACAAGCACCCTTGACAAATATCCCAACAATCCCTGCAAGTTTGAAATCTATCGATTGCAACCCTGCGACAGAAAAACCCAGATTTGCGGTAGCAGCCAAAACTGTTGCAGCAACAATCCGTATAATCCAACCCAGATCTATCGTGGAGAAAAGGAAATGAGAAAGAGAAGAGAGAAGAGAGAAAGAGGAGGCGGTAGCTAGATCTAGCTGCCAGATTTGGCCGCTGCTGACATTTGGATAGGAGAAAGATAGAGAAAAGTGAAGAGAGAAAGAGGTGGAGAAGAGAGAAGGAAAAAGAGAAGAGGAATATTGAAGAAGAGAGTGTTATTGAAATAAATTTGAAAGTAAGTTGATTTAGTTCCAATTTTACTAATTTGAGGGTGAAAAGTAATTTATTAATTTATTTGTCAAGGGTAATTTGATAATAGCATTCTTTAGAACTCAAAAATCAATAACAAAGTTAATTTAAGGGTGGCATTCTAAAATTTACTAAACCAGGTGTGGGAACTTATACATTAACCGAACCTTGGGTGGGAACATGTCATTTGCTCATTAAAATATTTCATCTATTGAATTGAATGTTTGGAGTATTGTGATGAAAAAATGATTTTATGGAATTCCTCCGTTAACATTCTCATTCACCCAACCATTTATTCAATATCAAGGGGTGCGTTTGGCTAAGTATTTTTATTCATATTTTGGACCGGATTTTACAGATAGTGTTTGTTTTATTATTTACAGAATCCTGTCCTGATAATTCAATCCTGACAATTTTTTTTTTGACCGTTACAATTTGTTTTTTTTTTTTCACTGCATCTTCACTGCTTCACTGCTTCACTTTCTCATATCCATCACCAGCTTCGTGCTTCACTTCTCAGTTGGCATTGCCGTTTTCAGTGCTTCACTTTCTCAGTATCCATCACCACCATTTCAGTTTCTGATAATCCATTACCAGGTTCAGTGGTTCACTTCCTAGTTTGCATTACCACCATTTCACTTTCTAGTATCCAGTACCAGCTTCAGTGCTTCACTTCTCACTGTGAACCCGCAATGCCTTCTGTCACAAACCCACATCCTAACCCAACGTGAACCCACCGTGAACCCGCAAATCCCTCTGTCACAAACCCACCGTGATCCCACCTCAGATCCCCAACCATGAACCCATCGTGACTCGATCTGTCACACACAAACCCACCGTGACCCGATTTGATCCTTACAACGCCACTGTGACCCGATCTATCGCAAACGCACCCACGGTGACCCGATCTATCGCAAACCCACCCACCCTGACCCGATCTGATCCTTAGAACCCCACCGTGACCCGATCTGTGACAAACACACCCACGGTGACTCGATCAACCGCAAACGCACCCACGGTGATCCGATCTATCACAAACGCACCCACCGTTACCCGATCTGTCGTAAACCCACACCCCGAGCACACACAACCCCACCGTGACCGTGGCCCGATCTACCGCAAACCAACCCACCCCGATCACACCGTCACCGTCACCCGATCTGTCGCATACCAACCCACACCGATCACACACAAACCCACTGTCACCGTGACCGGATCTGCCGCAAACCCACACCCCGATCTGGATCAAACCCACACCCCGATCTAGATCAAACCCACACCCCGATCTGGATCAAACCCACCTCAGATCTGTGTACAAGGGGATGCTGTTTTGCGTTTTTTCTTTGTTTGGCGTGAATGGATTGTGAATGCGCATGGATGGGTTTTTGTTTTAATTGGGTTTTTATTTTTTTCGACAATTGGCACAGAATTGTTTTAATTGGGTTTTTGTTTCAATTGGGTTTTTATTTTAACGAAATGCAATAAAATATTATATTAATAAATCATTTATAAAAAAATATATTAATCAAATATTCAACACAAATATGAAGGTCAAAATACTCTACCAAACACATATTTTAAAAATCCTATTTTCGTAATCATAACCCTATCCAACTATCCCCAAAATTCTATCCAAAATAATAAACCAAACGCACCCAAGGATATTTTGGAAAACTCAGTGAATGACTTAATTTAAGTCAAAAAGACCTAAACCCTAAACTCTAAGACACGGAAAACAATCCTTTTATATTACAAGCCAATTTGTGTTTGGGGCTTTTTCAATTAAAAGATTTCACATGGAATAAATTTACTTGTTTGCATAATTTAGGGTGCGTTTGATTTATTATTTTGGATAGGATTTTAGGGATAGTATTGGATAGTTGGATAGGGTTATGATTACGAGAATATGATTTAAAGAATATGTGTTTGGTAGAGTATTTTGACCTTGATATTTGTGTTGAATATTTGATTAATATATTTTTTTATAAGTGATTTATTAATATAATATTTTATTGCATTTTGTTAAAATAATGTATTATTATATATATAGCTTATCAAGTTACATTTTAATAATACTAAATATTTTATTGGTAATTTTGTCACCCGTATATATTAAAAAACAAAAACTCATATTAATTTCAAGTACTAATCCAACTGTTTAAAAACATCACATTAATACATATATGACAAAAGTACTAATTATCAACCCTTACAATCGTTATTACATGTATACTCTATTAACAATTACGATATGGTTCACGGTGGTGGGTGGTTCATGGTAAATGTGTGACAGATCTGATGGTATGGGGTGGTTCACGGTATGAAGAAAACTGAGAAAATGAAACACAAATGCAGTGAAGAAAACTGAGAAAATGACACACAAATGCAGTGAAGAAAAACTGACAAAATGAAATACAAATGAGAGAGAAGAAGAACTGCAAACTTAACAGTTAATAAAGAAAAAGCTGAGAAAATTAAAGTTGCAAATTGTAAAAGTCAAAACTGTCAGGATCAAATTTTCAAAGTCCTATTGTTTGAATAATAAGCCAAACGCTATTGCGAAAATCGATTTCAAAATACAAATAAAAATAATAAGCCAAACAAGCCCTTAAAAGTTTCAATATTACTCTAAGATCATCTTATAGACTGTAGATGAAATACTATCATCAAAAAGCGAATAATTATAATCCCAAGGAGTTAGTCTAGCGGTAAAAGAGGAAAAAATAATTCTTAAGCAAAACGGGTTTATTTTTTAATGAAAAGTTTAGAAATAGTTCAATATCACCACTCGAATAGAATAGAAAGATAACTATTCTCAATTGAATTGATCAAGAGGCTACTTGTTTTTATCATATGAAGACTTGATGTAAGTACGGAATTCTTTTCAATTGCACATTTATTGATAGTTTGGTTTTTATAACTCGTGGTTTCTCATTTTCTAAGCTTATCTCCATTTAACATTTTTGTTATCGTGAGGAAAAATCCCCTAAACTGATGTTCTTTTATCAAAACAAATAGAGACTTATCAAAATAAAACATCATTCAATTGAAAGACATAAGAGATAATAATCTCTTATATATAATATTTTGTAATAGAAAGACGATTAAATTGCCATAACATAAACGTTGTAACACATTTTCAAATTTTCATTACTGGGATTTTAGTTTAATTGCTTGATGACTTCAAGAGCCAGCTCCTCTAAATAGTTTTTGCCACTAGGACTAGGAGTCGAATACTTAATACCTCAAACAGCGTCAGGTTTCGAAGTCGACTGCTGAATAGCTGTAAGAGACCGCCCATCAAAGGGGTCTTCATTAGTTATAAATATCCTTGAATCATCAGACTTCAAGATTGACTGGTTGATAACTGCTATGTTAACTATTTGTAACTAATAGAGAATTAGAAAAACTGATAACTGCTATGTTAACTATTTGCTAACCACCCTCTCTACATAATAATAAATTGACAAAATACACTCTTTTATATAAGAGCCAAACCCTAATTCTACTCAAACTAGAAATTCTAGTACTAATGCTTGTCACAAACAAAGACAACTCCTACATTAACAAGAATAATACAATTTGTTGATGCGAGATTCTAACACCAACTAATCGACACGTGCACAACATTGATTGGTCAAGAAACACACGTGATTATGGATAGATAATACGAAATAAATGCAATGAG